CGATGCACTTGTTACTAGTAGCTTCTTGCTCCTAGCAGCTTCTTGTTACTACTAGTAAGGCACTTGTTACTAGTAGCGATGCACTTGTTACTAGTAGCGATGCACTTGTTACTAGTAGCTTCTTGTTACTTCGCTGTTCTTTTCCTTTTCGTCCTTTGCTTTTTAGTTACTTTGCTCTTCAATCCTTTCCTTCTAGTTACTTTGCTATAGTATACGTTCGTATACGTGATTCCCGCTTGCTTGCGGTCGCCGTGCTTCAGGATCACACACCCCGGCAGCGAGCTCCACAAGTGCACAGATTTGTGACGCTTCGGGCGCTGCAAATAGCTACTAGTTAGTTGCTTCTTTTGTTTCGTTCGTAGCTTCTTGTTCCTAGTAGTAAGGCCAGAAGCCCCTAGTAGCGTCCTTGCTCCTAGTAGCGATGCCATGAGCCCCTGGTAGCGTCCTTGCTCCTGGTAGCGATGCCAGGAGTCCCTAGAAGCTTCTTGCTCCTAGTAGCGATGCCAGGGGCCCCTAGTAGCGTCCTTGCTCAGTAGCGATGCCAGGAGCCCCTAGTAGCGTCCTTGCTCAGTAGCGATGCCAGGAGCCCCTCGTAGCTTCTTGCTCCTAGTAGCGATGCCAGGAGTCCCTAATAGGTTCCTTGTTCCTAGTAGTAAGGCCAGGAGCCCCTAAGTAGCGTCCTTGCTCCTAGTAGCGATGCCAGGAGCCCCTAGTAGCTTCTTGCTCCTAGTAGCGATGCCAGGAGCCCCTAGTAGTGTCCTTGTTCGTAGTAGGCCAGGAGCCCCTAGTAGCGTCCTTGCTCCTAGTAGCGATGCCCTTTGTTCTTAGTAGCTTCTTTTCTAGTAGTAAGGTGCCTTGCTACTAGTAGCTTCTTGTTACTACAGGTGAAAAGATTCCCAAGGAAGCTTCTAGCTACTAGTAGCTTCTTGTTACTAGCAGTAATGCCCTTGTTACAAGTAGCGACGCACTTGTTTCTAGTAGGGAGATATTGCACAGCGCACGGCAGGATGCTCCAATGTGGCAACGTCTGAATGCGATGAAGGCAAGCTAAAAGTCGATCGGGGAATTGTGAATCAATCAAAGCGATTCGTCCTCCAGGGCGGCTCAAAGCGTGTGATTCTCAGATCTACGGTTGCTGGGGCGTGTCGTTTGAAGGTTGTGGGTTCCCTTTGTGCCCCTTTCCCCCCGCTTCCGCTGTGTGATTTAAGAACTTCAGGTTGGCTCAACGACGGCCTTTCCTCTCTGAAATTCTTCTCTGCTGGGGATGCTTTGGAGAGTGAGGTGCTGCGCTGCTGCGCTTTGGAAAGGAAGTCTGATTGAAGCAGCATTGCAGCTTCGACCCCATAGCCATTTAGGCTGAGACGCCGAAGTACAGTGCATCACGTTATATACATTAAATCTGAGTTTGTTTGATCCTCCTGAATTTTAGAAGTGACGCAGTTTTCAGACAGAGAGCAACTGACGAAAGCACCTGCGGGCCATGCCATGGACTTGGGATTCGCCATCCCCTGTGAGTAGCTCAACATGATGAACTGAGTGGAACATGATTAAAACTGAGGCAGAAAATCAATTGCTAAGCACTTGCTGGTGAGGCAGAAAGCATGGAACACATGGATGACAAGATCCTGCAGAAAATCAACGAGTCGTGCCGAGTAAAGGTCAAAGGGGGGCTTGTCCGGTGGAGAGGACTTGTCGAACGACAGACCAGTACTGCATGAGCTGGGCCAATCCCTTTTGTTGAAATTCATGGTGTAATGGCAGCTAGTGTAAGTGCAGGGAAGCATGTGTGCGTGACACTAGCTTGCTTCCAAATTCAACTTCCAGGATTTTTACAAGTTTTGGGTGTGGGGCCCTACGATAGTTTAGAGACACGGTTACGGCGTCAGGTATGTCCAATCCTTGATGAAGATGATGTCCTCCAAAGTCTTGAAGGCGAGGTCTGGGAAGCTATGTGTTCTTCGGTGAAGAAATTCGCTCAACAAAATTCACCAGTTCAGTTGCTGTAGTTGCTGTATTTTGTCATTTTGTAATGGTTTTGCAGTGTTTTTCGAGTGGGTTCCATCATTCCGGGATGGTGTTTGTTGCTGCTCATTTGCTGTGTAGTATATAATCACACTGCGACTGTTTCGGGGTATGCTTTTTGGATCCCCTTGGAATTTCCTCTACAAAATGATGGCCTTAAGGCTCTAAATCAGCATGTCATCTTGTAGAGAACACTCTTTTGCCCTCACACCCCGTCATTTTGTAAAGACCTGGCCCAGCATTTTGTAGAGAATTGTGTTTTTTAAGTTTTCGACGTGGGCAAAAATACCCCGCGCCCGTCATTTTGTAGAACAAGTATTTTCTGGCATTTTGTAGAGAGAGCCCTTGATTGGAGCATATGCTATGCATTTTGTAGAGAGAGAAATCTCATGTTGTGGAGGTTGGTGATTCAATCAACATCATTTTGTAGAGAATGCGTTTGATGTCTGTCATTTTGTCGAGATGTGGAATGCGTTTTGATGCATTTTGTAGAGATGTGGAAGAGACATGTTGTAGAGAATTGTTGCGCAATGCATTTTGTAGAGATCTCAGTCGAATGTTGAAGTAGCATTTTGTAGAGAAGGTTGTTAAAGCGCCTGATGTCATTTTGTAGAGAGTTTGGATGATATAAGTCGGGCTAACGCCCTGGTGTCGCCGACCCCCTTTTTTTGGGCAAGCCTTACCAGTGCAGAGTGCAGGTGTCTTAAGGTAACTCAATGAGAACAGAAATCTTATGTGGAAGAAAAGAGGAGCAGCTGGCTTGATTTTGATTTTATTACGACGACAAAGTGTGAAAACATGGCCTATCGATCCTTTAGGTTTGAGAAGTATTGAGCTAGAGGTGTCAGAAAAGGGGTGCGACGGGTCGTGTCGCACGGAACCATGCGGAACCTTTGTCGTGCACACGTGCGGTTCTCGTATGTTCTCGTGCTTGTTGTTTTGTTCGATTGAAACGCCCGTCTTAATGGAGCGGTTTCGCTTCCATGACTCGCAGATGAATCAAGGACTTGCTGAAATTGTACACGGTCGACCTGATTGGTGGATATTGGTGGTCTTAAGGTTGGCCTCAGTTTTTCGGACCAGACTACGGTGCAGAAAGCCGCCACTTTCTACGAGGGGTTGCTGTTGCTCAGCCACAGCCGCCGTTGTTTAGGGGGTGCTGGGACGAGGTGAGTCATCCTTTCTGGCACACAGGCCCATCGGGAGAAGTATGCAAGCAAAAAGAATGGTGCAGTGACGGCCAAAACACAAAAAGGAACAAAAAACAATAGACCCACCAAGTCCGTGCCGTAGCCTAAAGCGCGGGGCCAGCGGGCTTTGAAGGGCGCCCGTTGCCCGTTGCCTTCGGAAGCCCATAAGAAGAGGTGCTGCAGTGTCAGACCCTGCCAAGAAGCATTTCAAGGGCACCTGGCACGGTGCCTTCGGAAGCCCATAAGAAGACTCTGCCAAGGGGCATTTGAAAGGCGCCTGGCATGTTGCCTTCGGAAGCCCACAAGAAGAGGTGCTGCAGCATATGAAGGGCGCCTGGCACGTTGCCTTCGGAAGCCCAGAAGAAGGGGTGCTGCAGTGGCAGACCCTGCCGAGAAGAGGCCTTTGAAGGGCACCTGGCACGTTGCCTTCGGAAGCCCATAAGAAGAGGTGCTAGGGCACCTGCATGCCTTCGAAGCCCATAAGACGAGGTGCTGCAGTGTCAGACCCTGTGCTGCCCTGTAGGGCAGCCCAAGGGATGGTGTCGCCACGCACCTATTTCTGCGCGCAAAAGCGGGCGGAGAGGCTGCTAGACCGCAGCTGTCAACGTCACTGTTGGAACCCTGTAGAAAAAGAGGTGCGGCAGCAGCCCAGAGACTCAATCCCCAGGCTCCCGGCAATCTCCTTCGCCACGGCTTTACCCAATCTAGTTTCACACCAAAAATGACCAAAAGATTGGCCGGGTGAAGGACCGCTAACAGGCCTAACATCGCCTTCGGAACTCCCATAGGTAGCTGCAGGGGCGCTCCGGAGGTCGCCACAGCAAAACACACGCCGGGCGAAGAACGGCTGACAAGCCTAACGTCGCCTTCGGAGCCCCATAGGAGATGAGTGGCCCTAGGTAGCTGCAGGAGTGCTCCAGAGCTGACCCGCTGAGGCCATGAACAGCTGCAGTCCTTCGCTCGCGCCACACAAGGCCCAATGCCAACCGTTTACCCTGCGGTGTCCCAGGGGCCGCCCCGCCTAGGCCTAGGCGTCAGCTAGGCCGGGGTCGGCGGATATTTATTTGATTCCATTTGACAGCAGGAAAGCATGCTCCAACCCAATAGCGATGGCCTCCAGCCTACTCGCAATGGCCTCCAGCCTAATAGCAATGGCCTCCAACCTAATAGCAATCGCCCTCAAACCTAATAGCACTGGCCTCCAGCCTAATAACCTGATACAATATGTTGTGGGAAATGAGGAGATCCTAATCTTGATTAGTTGTGTAAAATAATGCGAGCATCCCCTTTAAAATCCCCCCTACAGATTAGTGCTACCTGGGTACTCCCGAGCACCCATTTTATAGCACTATAGAATTGAGACACTCAGGTTCCTTGCTCTAAGACCACGAGATACCACGGGAAGTTTCCGACAAGGGTGCAATTTGACCTAGTTGACCTGGGGGTGGTGATTCTAAAGTGATAGAACCCTGAGATCTATGTTTCCGTGAGCTTTGTACTGGTGACATGGGGACTTTGATTTCTTAGTGGCAGACATGTTGATGGTCATTGACTGATTAGGATTCTATAGAGGAACAACCTTTGAGTGCTTTTTTTTGTGACATTATTTTTTTGAGTGCTCTTTCACCGTTTCTCTGTTCTTTCAACTTTGTGCTCTGTCAACTTTCCCGTGGAAGGCTCATGATGAAAAAACTTTCCCGTGGAAGGCTCATGATGAAAAAGCAAGCGCATAAAGCGTTATAAGGAATCGGTCTGTGAGATGGGGGTTGTGATTCTTTAGTGTTGAAAACTTCATACATACTTTCCGTGAGCTTTCACTTCACGACATAGGGGCTTTGATTCTATAGCGTGCGCATGAGTTGGGGGGGCATGATTTTTTAGAGACCCCCACATCGGGGGCGTGGATCTATAGTATGAAATGGTGCTACCCAAGTAGCCATATGAATTTCAAAGGGGATATGCGAGCCATCTTCTACAAAATGACGTCGAGGCCCGGAGGTGCCATTTTGTAGATAAAAGAAATTTGTACAAAATGACGAGCGCACCCCCATTCATTTTGTAGACTATTCAGACGCAGTAGTCAGGGGTCATTTCGGTAGACACGAGTGTCAAGTTACGAAAGCCAGCCTTCGTAGAAGGCGCTAGCGGAGTTGTGTCTGGCGAACGAAGTGAGTAGTTAGGGGGTCTGGGGGGGTGGCCCGAGAAAGGTATACGTCAACTCAGCACATGCTGGGGGAGGAGGGTGCTGCGAGGGAAGGTTTTTTGAGGTTGTGTTGGAGGTGATTTTTGAGGGGTGGTGATGCAAGAAATGCCAAATGCATCATTTGCATCATCTGAATGGAAAGGTGTAGTTGGCACCTTGCAAGGTAGAGAGACCTAGGGTAGCTATAGTGCAGCTACCAGGTATAGTACTTCAAGTTCCCTTTCCGTCAACCGCTTGAGAACCTCTACACACGCACAGCAATCCACAGCCTTGAAGTCTCATTCGTGCTTTGAACTTGTATAGGTGTGTAAGAGGTATAGCAACATACTATTTATACGGACCCAGGGTAGCTACAAGTAGCTACAGTTCTGGTATGGCGCGCATGAGGCTTCAAAGCTGTGGTTTTCAAGCTAAAGTCAAGGTGGCCTGAGACCAGGGTTTGCTGCCCTAAAACACTCTGTTCAGGCCACCTTGAAAATAAAGGTGTAGTTGGCACCTTG